AAGCCCTTGTCCTACGGACACGGTGTGGCCCTGTTGAACGATGGCAGCACTGGTGTATATATTTATCCTGCAACGCCCTTGTAGCCCGTCTTGCTCGTGTAGCTTATTTGGGGGGGGGGGGCAGCCCACAGCGCCGGCCCAGGTTCCGTCCTTTTTAAGTACGTCCGCACCCGTACCCGCACAAACGATGGGCGCTTGATTTTCGTCTGTTCCGCACCTGATGGGCGACTATTTCTGTACCTGCCGCAGCTACTGCTGCTTGGCTGACAATCATCTTATTTGTGGCGGTGTGGTTGTGTGTGTATGTGCGTTGTCCTGGTTTGTTTTGTCAGGGCTTCCTCCCTTCGCATGTATTCACGGCCACGGCTGTTGTCTTGCCGCTTCCGTTTTTTTTTGTTCGGCCCCCTTTTGGTGGTACAGTTGTGGGCCCTGTATAGTGCCGGCATGTGTCACGAGATTTTACCGGCACTATTCCGGGCACCCGGCTCTATACTGGGCCCCTGCTCTGTCCCTTTCGCTCGGACCACATGTTGTTCCGTCCCACCCTCTCGCGGCTGTTGCTTTCTGTCTCCACAACCTTGCACTACTACCACCACGACTGCTTGCTTGCTGTTTGTCAATTCCTCTTGCAGCTGTCTCTTGTGTTCGGTCTCCTTTCCCTTTGCACGACTACCACTGCTGCTTGCTGTTGTCAAGTTCCTCTTTCGGATGTTGCGTTCTGTCCCCACCGCCTCCGCCCTACTGCTACTACGGTAGTGGGCCCCGTATAGTGCCGGTATGTGTCCAGAGGTTTTACCGGCGTAACGGGCCACCGGTACTATTCAGTATCCCTGGATATACGTTTTAGTCTGGGATGGACACCCGTGTCCTGAGATTTGACCGGCACTCTACGGGACTGTTGTACTATCCAACCGGCACTATACAGGGCCCACTACTGCTACTACTGCTTCTGTTGTCAACTTTTCGACCGTCTCTTGCACTTGTGTCCCAGGTGTGTCTCCACCCTCTGGTGTCCTCCTACCCTCTGGACGAGCCGTGGATCCTGGACCCGGAAGTGTCTGTCTCGAGCCTTCTCAAGGACTGCAACAAGCTCGAGGTCACGCTCAACATCGTCAAGGAGGCGTGCGGCGCCGGCCACAGGTACGTAGCAAGTCTACAGCAGGCACGCGCGCGTGTCTGATTGGTCGTTCGTGTGAAATTTCACGTCCTCTGCTGCTCTGGTGCTTTTTTGTTTTTTTCGGCAAGCGTTGTAGTTGTCCGTGCGAGGGATGATGCCTCCGTTTCCGTTGATATGTATAGTTGTTTGTTCTTTCTCCTCCTTCATTCTCCTTCTTAGTCTTCTTAGTCTTCTTTGTTTCTTTGTCCCTCTCTCTGTCTGTCTGTCTCTCTCTCTCTCTCACTCACTGTGGTGGGGAAATAATCAGGGTTCTTGTCTTCAGTCGCTTTGTGCGCATGCTGGACATTCTCGAGAGGTGCATAAACGAGGACAGGGGGAAGGGGGGTGCGGGGCTGCGGGTGTGCCGGATCGACGGCGGACACAGCGACCTCGAGAGACAGCACACCATCGCGCGTTTCAACGCCAACAACAAGATCTCCGTTTGCCTCGTCAGGTCTGCTACACTACGCTTGTTGTCGTTGTCGTTGTCGTTGTTGTTGTTGTTGGCGCCTCGTCAGGTCCGCTACACTGCTGTTGTTGTCGTTGTCGTGATTGCTGTTGGCGTTTTCGTGTGAAAGAAGACACACTTTGCTGGCCTCGTCGTATCGTGTCTCGTTGGTGATCTCCGGCCCTTGTAGCTGTTGTCGTTTTTCTTCTTCTTCCTTGTTGGTGTTGTTGTTATCTTCCATGATACAGCCCGCTCTGACCTCTTCTCGAGTGCCGGCTACTACCTGCACTGGCCCAAATGGAGCGGGTGCCTCCCGCAATCGCAGGCAATATGGCTGTTTTTGTCTTTCGTGAGTTGGGGTGCGTGTTGCTTGCGTCGTACAATGTTAAAAAGGCACGTCTGTTTACGTCACCGACGCCCTCTCTCCCTCTCTCTGACATCCCACGTCACTTTGTTGTCCAACTGCAAGTATGTCCAAGTTCTACCCCCCCCCCCCCCCCCCCTTCCAACTGCCGTCCACCCTTGCCGCTGTCGTTTGTTCATCCTCTGAATTTGCAGCACCGGGGCCGGCGGCACCGGCATCACCCTGACGGGGGCGGACCGTGTGATCCTGTCCGATCCCTCCTGGAATCCAGCGGACGACATGCAGGTACAGATTCAGTTTTTTGCACGAACACATGTTGTTTTTCTTACAGAAGCTCACCAGAACTCATCTTGTTGTTCGACAGTATTTCCGTAGAAAAACGTCCGGGGTAAATTCGCGATGGATTCATCGGGGAGAATGACCCACCTGCGTTACTTTTGGTCTGTATTGTGTTTTCTTAACCTTCAGTGCACGACAAGAAACCGCGTCTTTCGAGTCAAAAACGGTTGTACAGTATTGATTAGTTGGCACGGGTCTCGCGTTGTAGTCTGCGGTAGAAGACAGCACAGCGGTCATTTCAAAACTAAGGCAACGCCTGTGCACACACGGGGCGGTCACGACAGCGGCTGTTTGTGCTTCCGTCACTGGCGTTTTTCCTTGCGGCACGAAAACCCTTTGCGTGTCGAGCCATACTGAGTGTGACTGGCCGATTCAGGCTCTCCTGTAGTTGTGGCTGCCGCTTGTTGTTGTTGTTGTTATTGTTATTGTTATCGTTGTTGTTGTTATTGTTATTGTTGTTGTTGTTGTTATCGTTGTTTTTGTTGTTGCCGTGAAGTTTATATTTACAAGAAAAAATGGACAAAATTGGATAATTGTATCCATGCGCAGGCTGCCGACCAAAATTTACTGTTATTTTGTAATTGTCAGCTTGCTGTTGATACATTGTGTTTCATGTACCATAGGCTACGTCGCTTTGGAGACATTGCTCGATAGGCTCTCTGTACCTCTCTCTCTCTCTCTCTCGCTCCCTCGCACGTGCACACAGGCTGTTGATCGAGCCTACCGCATCGGGCAGAAGCGTGACGTGATTGTTTACAGGATGATCGCGGCAGGTGAGAGAGAAAATGATACAGGCAGACAGACAGATAGATAGTGTGCTTGAGAGAGAGGGGGGGGGGGGGGGGGGGGGGGGGT